CCGACTACTCGGTGACACTGTCCGCTCTGAACAGCTGGAAGCCCGTTAGATGAAGCGCGCTGTCCGGGATGGCTCCGTTCAGCCAGGTTTCCGTGAAGCAGAGCGCAGCGGAGTTGAAAAAGTCCTTGTTTGTGCAGGTGAGGTGTTGTAGTTCGTCTGATTTATTTGCAAGGGAGCGGAGATTCGCCAGATGAATACTCGGCAGCGGAGTCCTAAAACCGCGCTGACGGAGTTTCACGGGCGCGCCGGCGCTCTTTCCTTGCTTGCATCGCCTGGAGCACTTGTATAGGAACGCAGCTCCTCCGACTAAAATGTCCAATTCACGCCTGGTATTGGCTATTCCACCCAAAGTTGGGTGTGAATAGAAACCCTCAAAAGTCATTAGCTCGAAATGATCTTGGCTCAGAAAACCTCTTCTTTTGAGACGACACTAAGACTTCTCAAGACTCTCCTCTGGAGTTTGAATTTCCGGCAGTTTTTATCTTCAAGTAACTTCATCCTTCATGTGGACTTTCCTATCTTCAGAAGAAGACGAAGAAAACTTCCAGCTCACTTCTAAGAGAACTCAAGAACCATTGTCTACCGCATCAGGAATCTTGTTCAGCAATCGAAGCCAATGCAAGTAACCATTTATAACTATTTAGATGCGGGTTTAAGTGTGAGCCCCTTTTTTTAAGGTGATTTTTGATTCTTTGATGATTCTCATTGGGTTGTGGTTAATTGATGTGAAATACTGCCATTCTTTTACTCTTCTCTCTCTCTTCCTTACTTTCCTTGTTGTGCTTAGTTTAGTTATATGTTAGATATAGTTTCATTTATTAAATCCCTTATATTCACAACTGATTGTCTCTGTGCGTTGCTCACAATTCGAAGTCACTTAATGTTTAATCCCTTGCTACATGCTAAATTACTGCTAGCATTGCATAAAGAAGGAAAGCTACTTTCCTTGGCCAGGAAAATAATCTTTCCTTGAATTGATAAATGATTATATTGTCTGCTCGGTGGACGGACAGATCAAATAATTGTAATATTGATTCTGCTACAGTTAATTCTAAGATCTAATCTAAATATGTATTATTAATCATAACCAGTTATAATTAGTCATAAATATTTCCCTTTTGAGCTGATTTACTACAACATTATCTACTCTACTATGAGATACATCCTCTGTGGCCAATTAGACCAGACTTCATACTGCAAGTCAAATGCAAAATGAAATGAAGCAAAACTTATCAGCCCCGGTTTTCAAAGCAAGCTTTTTTTTCATAAGAAGCAGCATCAACTGGATGCATCCACTTTCTTCACAGTTCAACCTTGGAAAATCTGATTATGACGAAACATGTCAAGCCTCAAACCTTTCAAAGTATGGAATAATGAATGAACTTTGTTCTGCATTACTCCTTATTCCACAAGTGGTTGCAGGCTCTGGCTGTATGGGTCAAATTCGGGAATTCCTCCCTGAAGTAGAGTGGTTGATGTTGGAAGCTCAGAGCTGACTCATTAGGGGCATTGGAAATGAAAGCCCTCCTGCTTGGCCTATTCTTCTGTTGGTCCAAAATAGTCCCATAAGATCTATTTGGACCCTTCTGAAGCAGGATGCCACCCTCACACTGGCTACAAGAGTTAGACACCTTTTTTGTGGAGTCACAGTGGTTACGGTGAAGACCATCGGCATCAGCTGACATAAACATCAGGGGGTCAAGATCACATCTGCCTTTGAGGCCTTTAGTTTATCCAGCTCCGTCAGCAGCTACAGTCACACTGGAAAACCTACACGTTTAACCCTGTAAAGCTTGAAATATATCTATTTATCTCATTTCGTTTTGAAATAGAACAGTTAATTGAACCTTTAAACAACAGTTTGCATATGTGTTTTGTTCAGTATCATGTTTGATTCATCAGGCTTTTATGGCTCATATAGTATGATGCAGGAGAATTTGGAGCTCATAATTGAGGACAAAACACCTGTTTTATTAAAGGTGGGGTAAGTGATTTCTGGTAGCCAATGTTGATATTTCAAATCACTAAAACGAACGCACCCCTACCCCAAAAGTGTCTCGCCCCTTTTGACAGCTCCGCCCCACACATACGTACGCAACCCAGGCAATGATTAGTTCTGTGAAACAAAGCAAAACCAATGTTACACCGTGTCTACACCGGACACAAGCGGCATGACGTGCCGCAACACGACAAATCCCCGACAGAAAACTGCTGCCACGTTCTATTTATGAAGTATTGACACAAATTTCAAATGATTTTCAACAGTCGCTTTGTCGCGTCCAGTGTAGACAGACTTTAGCTGTTGCAGCGCGACAACTGTCGCGTCCAGTGTAGACATGGTGTTACTCACCTATCGAGATGAAACAAAGCAACCTCAGCGTCCAATCGCAGGCCTTCTGCTCCTTGTGTTCTCTTCAGCACTGGAAAGCTGATCCGATATTTACACGGGTCCTACTTCTTGTCTTATCTTAAGCCTTCTTTTGTTCCGCAGAGGTTTTCCTCCTCTTTTTTTTAATCTACCATCTCCATCTTTCTGTCGCTCGGCTCGGCTAATGTCCGTCCTGTGCACTGAGCGCTCTCTCCTCCACATCTTGAGTAGACACTCCCCTTACTGCTGATTGGCTACAAGTTTGTTTTGGTACTCGGCCCAACAAGCGTTTTTGAAAAAATACATACCCCACCTTTAAGAAGCTCAAACTGAGCAAAAATATGCAATTTGGTGCAGGTGCTGATATTTTATATGGCCAAAAATTCAAATCTGATCACTTGTAATTCAAATCAATTAGATATTTCTAACAGTATAGTAGATTACTTATGCAAAATGCATATAATTATCAGTTGTCAATCTATATCTCACAATAATATGTTTTAGTAAGATGATATTTAATGCTTAGTTTTATGACCAAAGTTCTGTCATTTTTATTATGGAGGCAAAACATAATGCAGTGCAATACAATCATAACTGAAAGATATGCAAATAAACGTTTCTCAAAAGTTTGATGTATCATATTTGATACTCACGTTTTTATTTTTTTAAAAAGGATGTATGGGTAAGAATGTTGCTTTATGTCCAGTAAGTACTCATGTGACAGAGGACTCTGTCACTGGCCGGGATAACACTTGAACTCCCGTCCCCCTTTAGTTTTATATACACCATCGTGCATACAGTTACAGTTTATAGCCTTTCCCTCGGGTGCACACTTGGGTTTGTGCTACTGTTATGTTCGCATACATACACTCTTCACATATCCCTGCTATAACCATTTCAATAATCACACGCACACACTAGACAGGTTTAAACACACTAGACAGGTTTAATTATTACATCTTTTATTTACTCATCTGTATATCTGTCAGTTTGTGTCTCTGTTCGTGCTGTGAGGTTTCTTGCTTTTGGCGTCTTCCGTGTTGGATCTGCTGCCAGTACAGCAGATGAGAAGGGTCAAAACGCCGGCGGCGGTTCGTAAATGCTTAAGACAGGAACGTTCGCGGGCTGCGCATGCGCGAACCTTCCGCCGGCTGGACTGTTCTATGTGGTTATGTGTGGGGAAGGGGAACGGGGAAAAATGTTCCTGATTTATGTCTTAACTGTTTGCCATCAAGGATAATGCATACATAGCTTGAATCAAGACTTGTATACCCGTGAGAAATGTGTGTATAATTAACTTACCTTTTTGTAGAAGGTTGAAAAAGTATTCCTTACCTTGTATTTACCTTCAAAAGTTTACTCTCTTTTCTCTCTACACTATAAAAGGGTTGATGTATTTCTCATTTGGGAGGGGAAGTTGAGGAGGATGGTTGGTAGTGCAAGCTATGGCAGTGGTTGTAAATATTTTGTAAATATTTATTTTATTTTTTAAATTTTGGTGTTGGTTAAAATGTTTGTATTTTGGGACTGTGGACATTGGAAATAAATGACCTTGCACTGTCGCGCTATTGTGGCTGCGCCATCATTCCTGTGTTTTTCAAACCTGCCTCTTCACAATTCATCTTGAAATATTCCTAACAATATAAAAGCTATTCTTAAATTTACATTATAATAATCAGTAAATATTTCACAGCAAAAAAGAGGTGTGCCACGGCCTGAAGGGGTATGTTTTTAAAATTATACAAAAAGGCCTTTTACTTGCTAAAAAAGTGCAAACTATGAATCTGGCAACAGAGGGCATGTAGTAGAGGCCTTAGAAATGACAAGAACACGTTTTTTTTTACCGTTCTCTAGCTTAGTGTCTTGGTATATATGTCTCTGTTTAAAAATGTTTTGTTTGATCCAGTTCATTCTGTATCATTTTAGCTAATGTAGTAAAAAAGAAAAAAAAAAAACTTTAAAATTGATCACGTTTAGCATTCATAGAGTTGGCATATAGCCCTTTCTCAGTTGCATGCATATATATTTATCCATATAGTTTATATGTGTATGCATTTATTTTTGGATTATTTAATTTATTCTGTTTTGTTTGTTTTCTAGAAGGCCTAAATATATGTCATATCTTGCCTTCATTAAATAGATTTCCTTTATGTTTCCATTTACAGTTAAACCTTTATGTTAGTAACTCCAATTTTTATGGAATCAAAATGCACAAATTACAATACCTATGATACCTATGCAAGTATATAACTGTAATTTTATTAAACTCTATATAACTAAAACTAAACCTAACTATAAATAAAAAAAACTCATACAGAAAAAAATACAGTACCTTTCATGCTTTTGATTATTTTTTATGCCATAATGTGTTTAAATAGTAACCAAACATCATTAAAAAAAAAAAAAAACACACTCATTCAAAAGCATCCCAAGTCATAGTTGGGAAAAAAAAAAAAAAACACACTCATTCAAAAGCATCCCAAGTCATAGTTGGGAAAAAAAAAAAAAAACACACTCATTCAAAAGCATCCCAAGTCATAGTTGGTAAAAAAAAAAAAAAAAACTATCAATATATTCTTGAATTGTTGTCCAGTGGTGCCAGATTTAAAGTCTTTGCTAGTATTTTTATAGCGTCCACAGCACTGAACATATAATTCGTAACTGCATCTTGATTGGGCATTCACAACTGAAATTGCTGGCTGCTAAATATTGCCTACTGAATTAAGAAATGGTATACATTTGACTCAAGGAATCAGGCAGGGAAAATTTGTATAAAATAATAGAACAATTAGCATTAACATAAGTGTGAAAAGTGAGCTTTGGTAGTGGGAGAGTTTTAGAGACATCAAATTCGATGTAGTATAAGTTTACACTGTCCTCTATCTTTGTGCCAAATTTCCAAATTTTTCTCCAAACGTTTCAGTGGGCTGACAGTTGGGTTTGCAAGACTACTAATTTCTGCTAGTTACTCGCCAAAACAGTATCCAAATTACTGAAGTACTCTAGGTTTATGTTACTCTTTAAAAAAAGACATGAAAGAAAATAGTTTATTAGTGTTTATTAAATTGATAGCCCAATGTTTGCAACATGTCTCTTACATGTATTGTAAAAACATTAAAACAAGAATTATCCCTTAAAAACAATTTTATTTTGTATTAGCACACACAAAGTAGCATGTTACAGTATGACACGTAACATTGTAACCTTAACATCTGCGTCTTTGAAGCCAAAAATATATGCGCATGCAATAACAGCAGTAGTGGTGTTAACCATGCAAATGCATGGGGCCCTGTAGGCTTGCTGGCCACAAACAATTAACTCCTTTTGACCTCATTTATTAATGGGCCGGATAAAGTAGACAGAAACAACGAAGCGGTGCTCAAAAAAGAAAGAAAAAGAGAAGAAATGCAATACTAAAAGTTTGCCAAAGCTTAAAACGTTTTAGTCATCTAGCTTAAGCGGTAGCACTTTCCACTTTATTACTAGTTATAGCATGTAATAAATGTGAATCAGAAGGTATGTTGGAAAATACAGTACAAATTATTGAAATGTATCATGCCTCGTGATCATTCAATCAATCACGGAAAGACAATAAAACAGTTTGTAAAAACATAACACTGAATTTACCTCAAGAATGCATTTACCTCATTCAATGTCCATAGCTGAGTAGTTAACAAGAAAAAAAAAAAAACTAGAGGACTATGCATTACTTTTAGTGATGCATTCATTATTTAATGTATCTTTGAACTTAAACAGTCAATTGAAACAGCGAGGAAAAAAAACAGCACATGGTACATACAATTTTTGTAGTGACTGTTTTTGTTTTTATTTTATTTGTGTATGTAAATAAAGATTTTAAATGTCACTTAATTCTGTTTAATATGTGCAATTCAAAGAATATAGTTAAATAAAGGTAATGTTATGGTAGGGCATGTAGGGCCTCAGGTCTTGACTTTGCTTAGGGCCCCCAAAATGGTAAACCCACACCTGAATAACAGATCTGTATGCACATCACTTAGATCTTCACTAAACCGATTTGAAATACTTTATAATAGAATAACACAAAATTCACAGTCTACTTGCTGCCATTGTCCTCCTGACACGTACTGAGCCAAGGAAAACAAATCTTTCACTTTTTGTACTGGTGGTAAGGACAGCAAGATATGATTTGACCAAATTCTGAATGGATTACCCCCAAAAAAAAGCACACAAAGAATGATCCCTTTATAATTGCTAAAAAGCTGACACAAGTTCATTGCGATCTCAAAAAGTTTGACAAAGCAGGGGGACATAAGCAGAGTCAAAATCATGAATATGAAGACAAATTCTGCTTTTAAACCTCCAGCACAATCTCCCCCTCTCTACAATTGAAAAAAAAAAATGTATATTGTCAACACAGAATAACTTTTAATTTTCTCCTCCTCCATACATATCTGCCAGCTTCTTAAAGCGTGGGCCCCACTCATTGAGGAAGTCATAGTCTTGGTCGTGTCCTGAGCTGGAAGAGTTGAGGGAGCTGAGTGAACCCGCATCGGAGCCTCCTCCTTCATAGTCAAACACCAGGAGGGAGTCGTATGGGGGTGCTGTGGGATCTTCATCTGCAGTCTTCAGATTCTATGTTACAAAGAACTGTTACTGTCATGAGTAGAACTTTTTTAAGGGTGCTTTCACACCTGGCCTGTTGTTTCGGAACCTGGCGTGTTCTGACGGATGACATGCGTGACAGCTCAGTGGAATCCCGGAAAATAAACCATGGAACTTTGACCAATGAGAGAACAAATTTGGTTCGTTTAGAAACTTTGCCATGTGAAAGCGAACCGCTCCAAGAATAAAAAGCAACATTGTAATAATTTTAATCCCTGTTTCGGAACAAAGCAATCAATCTACAGGAGTGAAAGCACCCTAAGAAGGGAATCAAAATATTGTGGCTGGATGGTTGGTTACTTTCTTTTGGTGGAATCCATGATTGACGGGTTTGTGGGCCAATGGATAGCATTGACCTCTAAGAAGGTTGTTGAAGTTTTCTCATATAATGCACTTTTGTATTCCTGTTTTAATGTATTATTTTATTTGGCTTATTTTCTCAATGCTTTGGGATATGACTATTTATGTATACCTGTGCATACTTGTGTGTAGTGGTGTTTTATTGGTGTTAAAGAATGTCTTTGAACTAATGACCAATATATTTTTTATGGTGTAATGTTTGTGTGCAACATGGATCTCCATCTCTGGTCCTCTAGATTTTTTAGATCAGCTTGTATGACCTCGATCCTTTTCTGGTTTTTGTGTTAAATAATCCCCTGGGTAAAATTCCCAAGTTGGCCTAGCCTGCCTTTTTTTTTTGGTCTACAAAAGGTTTTGTTCTGCTCTGAGCACCTTGCCACATTAGAAAGATCTGATGCTCATTGTAAAACTAATATATGACTTACATAATCAATGAATGTGGCAATCTCTTCAGGGTTGGCTGGTCGAGGTCTATACTGAGGTGCAGGCAAGAAAATAGGAGCCACATCGTTTCTGAACACTTCAGGTCTATTGTCCAGGCCTCGATGCAACACACTCAAATCATAGTTCTGTGTAGAAAGTGTGTGATATAAAAAGAAGAATCAACAAGAAGTACACACTGCACTGTAGTAATTGTTGTTGATATATACAATCTAATGCACTCTAAAACAGTAGCACCAAATCACAGAAAGCTGTATTTCAATAATTTGCCATAACACGAATTGTAATGAATCCAGACCTTAAAAAACGGAATTAATTTAAATTTAAATATTAAACCTAACCTGATCATTTTCTCCACCGCCTTCCTCATCATAACAGCAGACATTGTCTCTTATGTCATCTTCTTCAGGAAGGAGTGGCTTTTTTATACTACTTGGTTTCCTCCTCATGAGCAGCAGAAGTAGAAGAAGAAATACTGTGGTAAAAAGAGCATAAACTAAATCACTAACAAAAAATGACACAAAATTTTAGGATTAAAGAAATGATGCAAAAGTTAAAGTAGTTAATGAATACACTGAAAGTGTTTAAAGGGGTCATATCAAGGATTAAAAACTCATCCCCAGCCCAGACATTAATGGATGCCACCTGACATCATCTGCGATGTTTACTTCTGTAAACAAAAAGAAGAAAGTGCATCTATTTCTCCACTTCATGAAATTTTCCATATGTACAGGGAATGATCCACGGTGTTAGAATATGCTTAAGACAATCCATCTGTGTTGGTCATACAAAAATGAATGTCCTGTTTGTGTATTATCCACTTGGAAGAGAAAGAACATTGTCCTACAATTGAGTCCTACAAGTCTGTTGCCCATAGAGAACATCTGAAAGCATGAAGAAACTGCAGCAAAAACAACCTTGTTTAACACTAATGGTCAAAGGTTACACTTGTGTTTTGAAGAAAGCTTGAATAGTTTTAATGTTACAAATGTGTAGGATATGGCCCCTTTATTCACTTTAAATGTATGAATGGAATAATTAAATTACATACACAGCAGAGCCAAGATGGCTGCCAGGGTTCCAAGAGATAATGATAGTGGGATCCCCGCCATCATTTTTTTGCATAGAAATTCATCTCCTTTGCAGTCACACACTGTTGCTTGAATGGAGTTGTCCTGATACATGTTATTGGTATCATAAACCCTTAGGACAACATTGTAATTACCCTGCTCCAACACAGAATTAAGCGTCAACAGAATCCCAGTTTCTATAACAGGCAAATAAATAGGTTAGTATAAACACCTAGACTTGAATTAGATCATATGTAGTTCATATTTTTCCAATATACATTATCCTTACTTGTTTCATTCATCCTGGCAGTCCAGTTTTTCTTTGTGTCTCCTTGGGGCTCAACGCTGAAGGGAGCAGCATAAAGAGCTCCATCTTTGTCAGTTATAGAGAGAAGCACTGTGGCCTCACGATTGCAAATCTCTATACTTCCTTCGTTAATAATTGGAGCGTTGTCATTTACATCCTCCAATTCAATTACCAAGGTTCCTGTACCAGTTGCTGGATTTTCATCTGCATACAAGCACAAACTTATTGAAAAAGGCTATGCTAGCAAGAATTATCATTTTAAAAAGAAACACAAATTACCATCATCATCCACTGCCAAAATGATAGCTCTGTATTTGCCATCTTTGACAGATTCTCTATCCATTATACTCTTGACTTTAATCATTCCAGTGTCTTGATTTACACTTAGCCAGTCAGCAGGATCATTGCCAATTTTATACCTGGGAGGAACCAAAATGTGTACAACCAGAATACACACACACACACACACACACACACACACACACACATACATGTAAATAGATAGACAGATATGGTATACTATAGTAATTACATGTAACGTGTAACTATGTCACGCAACAAATTATTACCATATACTTCAGAAGTTTAAGAAAGAAACTGATTCTTTTATTCAGCAAGGGCTTCAAAATGACATTTATAATAAAGACATTTATAGTATTACAAAGGATTTCAATTCAAATGCTGTTTTCCAAACTTTCTGTTCATCACAAAATCCTGATAAAAGACACTAAATGCAGTTATCATACACTTCAGCAGTAAGCAACACAACAATTTTCAGCTGTGATAATAAGAAAGGTTTCTTGAGTACCAAATCAGCACATTAGAATGATTTCTTTGTGACTGCCTCTGTGTCTCTGTCTCTCTCTCTCTCTCTCTCTCTCTCTCTCTCTGTCTCTCTCTCTCTCTCTCTCTCTCTCTCTATCAATCTTACTGATCTCAAACTTCTGAACAGTAGTATATATCTCTTTATTTATGTATAAAGTTTAAAGTGGTGCAGCAGTTCTTACGTTATCTTCTGTGATTTTCCAGTGTCTGGATCAGTGGCTGTATAAGCACCCAATTCAGTATCAACTGGTAAATTTTCATGTCTGGAAATAACCTTCTCCTTTGGATTAAACTTGGGAGGCTCATTCACATCTTCTACATTCACCATGACTGTGGCAGTGGAAGTGGTCAAAGAACTGACAAATGGTTCATCATTTTCAACAATCACCAACAGAATGTATTGCTTGTTCTTCTCAAAGTCCAGGGGCTAAATAGAAAAGAAAGCATCTTTTACTAAGGTATGTCATCACAATTAATTCAATGGACAGACATCGGAGCAACACACAGTACCTTTACAGTGGTGATGATGCCCTCCAGCTGGCTGGGTCCAGTACTGACATTGAAAAACCCACCCTTGTCACCACTAATAATACGGTACTTGGTTGACCAGGCAGGTGATCCAACTTCATCTCCATCAGTAACTGTAAGTTTGGCCACTACAGCCCCTACTTTATTCTCTGGGACAGATATGATGTGCTAAAACATAAAATGAATGATTTTATGCTGTACTGAAATGTTATATAGTATAAAATATAAATAGTTGTATTTATACTCTAGTATAGCACTGACTGAACACTCAATGTTTGTATGCATTACCGAAGTTTGCTCAAACTGTGGTGGGTTATCATTGCTGTCAGTAATAATAATAACAGCTGTGCCAGTGGTTGCCAACCCTTCTCCTTCCATGTCAGCAGCCACAATTAACAAAGTATATCTGGGCCATTGCTGAAAAGGAAGATAACTGATGAATTTGTTCACATCATGTCATTTTATCACCACTTCGAGAGTCATCAAATGTCACTTCTCACCTCTCTGTCCATGCCTGGTTCTCGCACACGAATGGTTCCAGTTGAAGTGTTGATTTCAAACATGTTTGGTTTTGGAAATTTCGGCTCTTGGCTGACAAGTGTGTATCTAACCATAGCATTGTCAGTTTCTGAATCATCTGCATCAGTGGCTGTGACTGTCATGAACTCATGGTCTTTGATGTGAGAATAAAGACTTAGTTACTATTGATGACATTTAAAAAATGCAAAATGAACTATTTCAGGGAATCATTAAAATGTATGTTAAAAGAATGATTAAAAGACATTTATTCTAAAGGCTGACTGCTCAATTTGCCTACCTTTAGAAGCTTCAGAAACTTGTCCATTAAAAGGATTTTCCGTGAACTCAGGCTTGTTATCATTCTGGTCGGTCACAATGATAGTGAGGTTTGTGGGTGATGCCTCTTTTTTCCCATCTTCTGAAATTGCACAAGCCTTGAGCTGACGACATGGGATGCAACATGGATGTTAAGTGCAAAATTCTAGTAATATCCCAAGTGAAATACTTCATCTGTATACTTTATTAATCATGTAATAAATAAAGATCACATATTAAACTACAAAATGTTAAATGGAAAGAGAAAAATTTTATTGGCTTAGAATTTACTGTTTAATCGATTTTCAGTGGCACATAGACAGTTTCTTGATTTTCAGTATTTCTGCCTAAACTAAATTGTTCAGAATCGAGTCTTTCATATTGTTTCACTGATTTAATGAGCAAAATAATCCAGGACTAAATATCATTACTGGAGAAGGTATGTGAACCTCATCTGTTAATTAAAGGGGTCCTATTATGCTTTTTACACTTTTATCTTCCATCATAATGTGTGATGTTGCTGGTAGTGCATAAAAAAGATCCACAACAATAAATTTAACATCACTGTAATAAACATCCACTTACCTTGTATAAATCCTTTTTTTCTCTATCCAGTGGCTGTGTCACAAAGAGATTCCCTGTCTTTTTGTCAATAGTAAAAATCCTCACAGGTGGCTGATCTGCCCCTTCTCCTGTGATACTGTAAACTATCTCTTCATCAGGTACACTGTACAGCTTTGCCTTTAACTAAATGCAGAAATAAAATATATATAGACTTGCATTGATCATATACACCTTTACATATTGATGCAATTTACAACTGTCATTTCATTACTTTTACACACCTGGAACAGTTTTTTGGGGAAACTGCCTCTCTCGTTCTCAGGTATACTATAAGGAGGAATAACCCACTCTCTCTTTCTTCTCCTTTGTCTTGCTGAAGAGCTCAGAAACTCCACAATCCGAAGATCAGAGGGAGTTTCTAACTAAAATGAAAAGATTAAAAAAAAACACATACTGCTTGTGAAACTACACAGAACGTTGTATCAATCCTTCATACTATTTAATTCTACCTTTTGTGGATTCTCTGAGTGATCAAGACTACTTTGTGAAATTAACCATCTCTACTTAATAAAAAAAAAAAAGAGTTTGCAGCCTCATTTTGTGTGCATAAATAATATCATATAATAAAAGAAACTGTGTGAAGGGCCCAGCAGAGGTCAGGCTTGTACTGTATTCAGAGGCGGACAAAGTACTCAACTCCATTACTTGAGACAGTTCTTCTGTGGCTTTATAGGTAATATTTCCATTTACACAGTTTTGCAAGATCAGACGATATTGTGTCTAATGCATACACACCACAATATTCACTTCTTATTATTGAATTCTTGTAAATAAATATCACATTTGCAACTGGTCAGTGTTAATAAAATGCTGGGAAATCACTTCACGTAACCCTACAAGAGTTCTTACTGATTTTTAGGCTGTCTAAAAATAAATAAATAAATCACCCACTGACTTTCAAAGCTACGGAGCCCCGCACATGGCATGCAGGAAAAAAATAGTAGGCCCCTAGGCTAAATCGTGTGCACGATTTACTATTTCGTTTCCTTTGATTTATAAATTGTGCGCACGATTTAGAAAATCGAGGGAATGAAATAGTAATCGTGTACACGTTTTAGTACATCGAGGGAACGAATTAGTAAATCATGCGCATGATTTATTTTGTATTTTTTCTTGCATGTCATGTGCGGGGCTCCGTACAAAGCTGCTACATTGTAACGACTTTCTGCTTTGACGATCTTGATAGAAATGTAGTGGAGTGAAAAGTACAATATTTGTCTTTCAAATGTAGTGAAGTTAAAGTCATAAGTTCCCAGAAACAATAATACTCAAGTAAAGATACTCAAAAAGTGTACTTAAGTACAATACTCAAGTAAATGTACTTAGTTACTGTCCACCTCTGACTGTATTACACAGCAGGAAGTTGCACATACCTGTGAAGCTGCATTCACTGCAGTATCCATGTGATTGTCATGACTGTAGACATGCTCAGCTCTTGTGCTTCCATCATTGCTACTGAAAATTACTGTCAGAAAGTCGTAATAAAACAGGACAAGAAACAGGTCTTTATACAATGGATTTTAAACTAATTCAAACTAGAATCAATCAGTCACTTTTTGCAGTGGCAAGTCTTGAGTTTAACAGAAATTGATAATATTTACTGGTTCCAGGGCAACAACATGTACTTAATTAAATTTTTTTGAGTGATCAACTTAAAAACTTGTTTATGCTACAAATATCTGAGTTCTTCAAACTCAATGTGCTTTGTTGGACAAACATAATTTCAAGTTGTCATGACGCAAAAAGATTGATTTTTGACAGATTTTTTATTTTATTTCTATAATTTTTGAGTCTACGCATTTTTTTAGTGTATTTACAACCACTTGGAAAACTGTGCTAAGGCAAGTCTGAGGAGATAGAAAAGGGGAGGGTGAGGTCAAATCCATAGACTTTTGCCTCAGTTGGAAAAAAAAAAAACATTCACCTTTGAGTGTTTCACTATACCAAAAAAAGTGTTAATTTTTAAACAGTCAAGCAAAGAAAAAAAAAACCCACTGATTGCGATCAGTTTGTGACATCACTATGGTGTCCACTATTAGCACAAACGTTGAAAAGATGAATGAATGAATGAATTAATTAATTAATTAATTAATTAATTTAATTATTTTATTTTATTTTATTTTTTGGAAGTTACTTTATAGAAGTTCACAACTGGATTCAGACATGGAGAATATTGTCAGAAGGAAGACCTTTACAAAAGTGCTATGGTGGACTTTGGACTCACTGATGCTCCAGAAGGAAACACCATGCATTAAGAGCCTGGAGGTGAAAACTTTTTAAATTTGAAGATCAGGGTAAATTGAACTTATTTTGTCTCCTGGGAAACATGTAAGTATCTTCTGTACCTTCTGAAGGGCAGTACTAAATGAAAAAAAAAAAAAAAAAGATATTTAGGCAAAATACAAAAAATGTATACATCTTCATTCTGTTCAAAAGTTTACACCCCTGGGGCCGGTTGCACCAGCTAGACGTAAAAACGCTGGGTGTGAGCCCTACGCTGGGCTTTGCAACGTCCTGCTTTACGATAAATATTTGCACCTGTTGCACCAACTGAAACTACGATCAGGCGCAACTACGCCCGGCGTAGACAATGCGCGTCCACGCCGACACATTCTCCCTCAGTTAT